ATTTCCTGAAGTTCGAACGAATCGAGTAGAAAGCATGAAAACATAGCCCTGAAAAGTATACCAACAAAACAATTAAATTCACTCATCCCGCTGTAGAACCATCTCCAATTTACACATATTTGCGGTCCGTAATTTGATTCTCAGATGTTTGACGGGTTCTCACATGACCATATCGTCAAAATCAAATGATTACCGCGTTAGACTTAATGTAAACATGAACATCGCTGACTCAACCCATTTTATTCTAATTTTGGGAAAGTCCATTACTTCGTTCTTAGGGTAAAACAACACATCTTCGGCAAAGCGCAAATTTTCAAATGAATAGAGTAAATCCTGCGATAATTAACTGAAGAGAAAAAAAGTAGACACTTGTGCTCGCCGTTCGACATCATTTGAAAACTTTCTAGGCAAAACAAAATACGTAAGATAACTTCTTTTCCCATAATACCACGACTGTATTAAACTTTCAAACGAAAGGACAAAAAATAACTTGAAGCATACGGACACTATGCAATATTATTCGAGCGATGAACCGGCGTAAGAGTTTTTAGGCGATGAATGCCAGAGTCAATGTTTAACCGAAACGTGATCAATTGAATTAAAACTGAAGCTAGTATCAAACGACAATTGGTAAAAAAATGTTTGAATTTTTTCTGGGTCTTAGCGTAAGAGAAAACCCAGATAAGACACGACTTACCTTCTTTCGCGGATCCTTTGTAGTTCGCTTCTCTTTGTTGATGACCTCTTTTCAATCTGTTTTCAGAAGCGACTTTGTATTTCCTTCTCGCTCTGCTCTTCGCTAGAAACTCGCCCTTTTACTTATGTCCTTTATTGTTCTCTTTCGCGTTCCTCTCGCCGTATTCTGCCTATTTTGGCGTCCTTTGTAACTTTCTTGCGCGATGTTCTGGACACGCTTTACGCCGTTTACTTGTTGCTTTCTTGGTCGCTCTGTCTCTTTATATCCAGCCTATTTTCAATTAAAACCCTCTCTCCACGAACTTGAATTATAACAATTTCCTCCGGTTGACAAAGCTTAAACTCTGCCGGTATTGTTGTCTTACGAGTTGTTTAGAAATTGCAAAATATTGAGAATTACTGTCCAACTACTTCCTGACCAGTTTGATGCCCCGCTCAAAACGCGGGTGACAATTTCATCTACTAGCTCACGTGAAGCCCTCGTGCAATGCCTAACCGTATGCCCGCAGTACGCTACACCGCAGCTCGTCGTCCGAGTATGCGCGCTTTATCGTCACCTGATGGTGTCTTTTGCCGCACACTAATGGCGTATCCAAGTTACGCACGCAATCGCGCCTGGGCATTACCTTCTCCCTCGCCCTTCAATTACGTAATGGCTAAGATAGTGCCCGTGGTACAGTTGGCCGCGCATGCTAAAAGTAGCACCTCGTACGGTCGTACGGTCGTACGGTCGTACAACCAAATTTTTTCGGCTTGATGGGTTACTACTATTTCTTATAGTTATGGGGCTACGCTGGAGCTCCGCTATTATATGCAATGCACTTTGCGCGTTGCAGCTAAGGAAGTCAAACCCTCCAACGTTTCCACTTGAAACGGAGCCAGCTGCTTATGAAAAGAACACGTGGTCGCCATACTTCCGTCCGCCTCAAGCAATGGCAACCGTAAAATACTAGAAACTGTGTATCTTAAGCAATTTTTTAAGAATAAATTGGAAGCTCTTTTCTTTTCTTTGCTTTTTATCAAAGTATGCTTTAATTAATTTAATTGGCGGTTTTTACTTCAGTAGTTTTTATTATCTTTTTTTTTTGTTGCTATTTTTAAAACTTTTTTTTAAAATTTATTTGGCTAAAATGAGAGAGTCATTCAAAGTTAGGATCAACAGTTATCTGAAAGCGTCTTATATTTTTTTTCTTTTTGTTTGAATAGAAAACGGCGATGAGGAAGGAGGAAATTCCAACCTACCGATAATTGTTGGTATATCTTGTGGCTCTTTCGTTGTCCTTGCCCTACTTGCGATTTTTGCTCTCTTCCGCTGCAAGCGACCCGGGCAGCGTCCTATGAAAACTAAGATCTCGGATGGCTTGCCTGTGGACGTTGACTTTTCAAAAGCAGAGAACTACGAGCTGCGACATAAATTTACATGCCACAATGAACAAGTAGAAGAAAAAGGTCAATGGAACGAAGGGATGGAGTAGAAAAGCCATCGAAAGATGAGTGAAGGAAGAAAAAGATGCTTTTCTTAATTATTGCAGTATATGATGCCAAAGTAGAACTACCCTTGCTGAGCGTTTGTTTTGTAACTTGTGACGTGTGAATTCACAGTTAGAATCCTGTATTGGTATACTTAAGAATGTTCATTCTTTACCATAGTAGGGAAGATCCTCTAATGATGTAGGAATTATGAGCAATAATTATTATCTGTGCGTCATGCCATTTATTTTCTCGTCCTCAGTCTATATCAGTAGATGTAAAAAGAGGTTTGATTGAAGCTGGACATTTCACTACAGCAGCGCTATTTGCAGTATTTAGTGGTGGAGAGTTCACCGTGTTGAGGACACGGTTGAAATTTGAAAACACCTTTGCTTTTCGTCAGTGATTTGTAGGCAATACTATGCTATGTCCCCTTAGTTTTGTGTCTTAAAAGAACGAACATGTTTCAATATGATCTTTAAATTTTGCGACTTATTCTGTGTTTCGTAATTAATATTTAGTCCTGTAAAATCACTTGGAAAAACAATCAAACAATCAAAAAACCAACAAACTAACAAACTGAGTGACTTCTTTCTATCTCTTTTTTTAGCGAAAGAAAAATTTCACCATATTATACACATGTAGGTTGCTTTCATGCTGAATAAATATAAACTTTGGTTTTTCCACTTTGTAGTTTTCTTTTTGTTATGTGTAATAACAAACGCTTTTGCAGACTAAAATCCGTTGGTAGAGAGATCATCAGACAGAAGCAAGCAGAAATTATCCAGAAAAAGGAGCATCAACGACAACTCTATTGTACCCTATGTCAAGTTTTTAACAATGTATGATGATTATTAATGATGATGATAATAATAATGATAATAATAATAGTAATAATAATAATAATGATGATAATGATAAAAAAAAGGGGCCACTAACCCTCTGGGATAACCAATCAGCTAAAAACACCGGGTTGGGTTGCACTTCATGAAAATTTTTATCTATTTACCTTTTGGTGACTTTAGCACACCCAAACCGGCAGAGGCTCGATAGAATCCATGTAAGTGTCTGCATACAGCTAACCACGCACTCACGCGGAATATCCAAAGGATTTTCTACATGAATTCTGAATTACGAATTTGCATTCTGAATTGTAGATATGTTAGTCATCTTTACTAGTCTGACCAAGTTTAATAATTTTGGACTGTTCATTGGTCTAAAAGATGTTGTTTTATGCAAGGTGTAACCCACAATAGTTCAAAGCAAACATTTCAAACATTTTTTGGAATGTTTCACCATCTGTTTACACTTAAAGTATAAAGCATGTTTTAACGCTAAAGAATAATCCTGCGTAAGGGCATAAATCAAAATGCAATTTGCTTCAGCCCTTAAAGTGACCTTTGTTTGACATCATGAAGATCCGTTTGGATAAACAGAGTTGGTTTTTACTACTAATCCTAAGGATTGGTTTATAAAAGAACTACAGAGTACATTTCAATCAGTGAGTCATTATTACCTTTTTGTAATGTGGTAAAAATTCAGCTGCCAATCATATTATTAATTTTTTTAATACACAATCCAGAAGCCCAAACGTATAATAAACCCCGATGTAACGAAAAAATGTCAACACGAGATAAGAGACAAGTTCGAAACAAACAATAATCAAAATCCCTCAATCTGTAACAATAGAACAACTTCACAGTTAACAGTTAATTATGAATGCCGACATTGACACTATCGACACAGCTACAGATCCGCTTAATCCCCTCTGTCTCTTTTTAGTCTTATAAACTTCATCTTTTAAGGCTTTCTGTGGTAAAAGTTGTAAGAGGCAAGATTTTTCAGTCCAATGCCTTGTTTCGCCGATTGCCAGTGACTTCCACTGAAATTTGTTCTTCGCGCTTTAAAAACAAGGTGCTGTAGCTTCATAAATACATCAAAGCCACGTCACATCAAAAAAAAAAAAAAAACAACAACAAACAACAACAAACAACAACAACAACAACAAAAAGGAAGAACAAAACAGCAACTGTCAACAATCTCGCGATATAACTAACATTTTGGTTGTTCCAAGTCCGCAAATTCTTTATGCCGAGGTTTTTGATATAACATGCCCTCGAAATAGCAAACCAATTTCCTAGTCCCTTAGCACTTCGTCAAAGCGAGGTGCCACTGTACAATAATTAGGCCATCATTTACTTAAGAAAGAGCTCGATAACACAGGAATAAAGTAAACAAAACTTACCTGGACTGTTCTCCTGCGGCTTGATAGAGAACTTAAGCTTTTTCTGTTATATTTATCTCTAGTTGAGTATAAAACTAACATCAACTACCTTTTCACGCTGGCCAAAGTCTACCCTCCTTAGTTGCCAGCATAAAAGATAACGGGATGTTAAACCCTCGTAAAATTCCCCATGTGACGTTTATAGTCCAGTTTATGGTCCTGTTTATGGTCCTGTTCAAGGTTTTGAGCTCGTGAACTGACCAATGCAAATGATCATGGGATTATCCTGTTCTCGCTAAGACTGGGTGCGGGATCGCGCCGATCGTGGACTCGACGAGTAAACGAGCGTAAGTCTGTGATCAAGCTCTTCAGTGTGTTTGCTTAATCAAGAATGCAATGAAAGCTTATAACCTCTCCTCACCGTTACACGAGCTTGTGAGCTGCTGGCAACAAGCGATACATAAGGAGATTGTCCTATGCTCGGACAGACTGAACGCGGGATTGCGAAATTGGAGCAGAAGTGATGATGGAATTGACGAGCAAGAGAGTGTAAGTCTACGGGCAGGTCCTTGCGTTTGTTCTATGAAAAATGCGCTGAAGCCTAGTAACTTTGTTACTTAATTAACGTACTTAATTGTTAATTCACTTCACCACAGATTGTATGAGCTGGTTAGCCGCTTACCGCAAGTGATACATGGGATTCTTCTATGCTCTGAAAGACTTAAAGGTTGGCTCGGGAAAAAAAACACCAGAGCAAATGCATGTAAACATGTTGTTCTGTTTTATGGGGAAAAAATTGAACCAACTTCTCTAAAAAAGGCGTCTACTGCATGACGGGAAGTTTCCCATTAGTTTTTGTCACGGTCACAAGAAAGTTCATTCTTTTCATGGCATGAAAATTTACTACCCTGGTCTTGAAAGAAAAAGAAAGAAAGAGTAGGTAAGGGGCGGGTGGTTTCAAATGACTGCGGCATAATTTGGAAGACGATCTAAGACAAATCTGGGAAGAAAATACAAACAAGCGTACAGGAGATTAGGTGTTCTAAGAGGAATTCCATAGGAGTTCTGACCCACAGGGAATGTCAACAATACCAACGGAAAGCACCATCGGCCTTTAGGAGTGTTGCACCCTGTACAATTTTGTGCTGCCATTTTGCCTTTAGTTTTTTCTTGTCCCGCTCCAGTCAAGTTCTCCTATCATGTTAAGGTTCTAGGATGGAAATCATTATAAACTTTAACGCGTATTACTCGAAATAAAATATAATTGTAAATATATTGTATGTCTATCTGTAATACATCATAAAGAGCTTTGGATTTACGGCCTTATAATATAAATGAAAACATTACGCGCTTCTGATTGGCTGCAAACCAATACAAAGTTGTAACAAATTATAAACAGCGGGCGCGCGCTGTCAAAATTTCGTCTGCCACGAGTTGATGCTAACCCAAGAGTTCTTGAACGCTTACCTAGTACAAGGTGGAAGGAAAATGAGGATTTGGGTATAAAATTAGGACGTGCGATTATGGAACATTGTCTAGACGTGAGAAGAATTTGATTAAATAAAAGTCACACTTCGCAGCCCTAAAAATGTAATCAGGTGCAAGTCCTTGCTGATACATGACCTTACATTATTAGGGGCCTTCATTAACCTTTAAAAAGCTTTCCACCCCTGAAAAAGCTGTCATACAAGACATTGACAAAACTTCTTGATGTCATCTTTTCTAAACTAACAGGCACAAAAACTGTATTCTAGGCTCAATAACTTCATTAGAGCACAAATGGTAGCATTCAGGTATGCAAGGTTTAGATTGAGCATGTAAATGAATGATGTTACCATCGCACGATGCAACTATTGCAATGATCGGTTTCTTTCAATTCCTCTAATTTGATATAGGCTCGGAAGTGTTGTGGCAGAGTTTAAGCTATTATGCAAGCAAAAAGTTTCAGATGACACAGCAATGGCTCCGTTAAAAAAGGCCGTGGAAAATGGAAATCCTTGTCTTATGACTGTCAACCCTGCCTCCTGAGGTTTCTCACCCAAGCCTACAGAAATACGAGCTAAAAGAAGCGCGTTCTAAGGAGGACATTGTCAGTTATGAGGAGTTAGGTGTCTGGAAAGACACTGGCATGTACGAGTACTTTTCCAATGGAGAAACTCGTTACCAAGAAGTAGGAAAGACACTGGTATGTACGAGTACTTTTCCGAAGGAGAACTCGTTACCAAGAAGTAGGGAAGACACTGGCATGTACGAGTAGTTGCACTTTTCCAATGGAGAAACTCGTTTCCAAGAAGTAGGCATCCATAATATGGCTGCTGATTATCAGGAAATCCACAAACCGAATGGTAGTGGCTCAGGGAATCAGAATGGCTGAAGAACCTGAGCGCAATCAGGAGATTGGTACTTTGAAATGAATTGGGAAAAATTGAACGACAAAAGTGGCATATTCTAAAATTAGGTTGTCTGCTCTCAAATTATAGAGGACTCGATATCATTCATTGTGCCTTTCTGCTAAATAAAAAAAAATTTACAGGTCGAAGGAAAACTCGTGGAAAAACTTAATTGAATCGATTTTCCAATTTTGCAGAACTACTTTTGAAATTTTGATTAGAAAGAGAAAAAAAGAAAAAGATGAAAGATGGTAGACAGGAAAAGGGATCCATATTATGATTCCTAAACAAAACCCTGCATTACGTATTATTTCTAAACACAGTTTGGGCAAATCAGCTTTAATTTCTGGCTCAAATGTATGTTGACCACGGCCAGGATAACTTTAATTTTTTGCGCTTGGAAAAGTATTTCATCACTATCCTAATGTTGATTGCAGAACATCACTTTATCGTTTGACAATGCTTCTTGAATAGGAAGCAACGAGGAGGTCGCAAGCAAAGTAAGCGTGGTCACACTTAAATCGTAAAATATTTGCAAGTGTTTCCTGAAGTTTAGAAATTGATATGAGTTATTTAGCAACAAACAGAGACGCATACGCGCTTTAGAATGAATGAGAAGTTCCAAAGAGAGGGTTGAGTTGTTTGAGGGATTCCAATTTCACTCTACTATCAGTGCGTGCTTCATTTGTTCAGATATCGCTAAGTGAAGATGATATAAAT